ATTTCCAATGGAGAGTAGTGCGGGAGCTGCATGGAGTTCCGATCATATGCAGATGTCCGTTCATACTACATGACCGAAGGCGCGTGTTATGTGGCCATTCATGCAAACTGTAGCATCACAATAAATAAGATTTATATTCCGCTTTTACTCAAAACTCACTTTAAACCACCATCGAGTGTTTGCAATAACTTCCGATTGCCGTCTAATGTGTGTTTTGGCCATGTAATGTTGTTGAAATTAAATATGTTATTACCTCTGACTCTGAGTCAGCAGCGATCATGGAAGAGAGAACACAAGCAGACAGCGCTGGAAGCTGCTAATGCTCATCAGTAAATCAGTGGAAAATAAATAGAAATCATGATTCTGTCTGAGCTGCGTTTTAAAACGAACACGCACTCGTGTAAATGCCTAACAGATGTGTAAACTGAAGACTATTTGAGCTTTATTAAAACTATTTGCACCGATTTATTGTGTTGGTTACACTTTGTTCCTTTGTGCAGTGGCTCAGGAGATGAGTCTTTGAGATTGTATAAACATCAACAAGCTGAAAAATAAAACCAAAGTTTTTTTTTTTTTAGATAATGTAATCTTGTTAAAATTGATTTCATAAAATTGGTATCGAAAAAAGTATCGTTCAGGAACCGGTATCGAGTCAAGGTATCGGTATCGGTATCGATATCGAACATTTTTTAACGATACCCAGCCCTATAAATAATGCATTAAAGACCTTTAAACATTTAAAAAACAATTAAAAATATCAAATATTTTTAAATGTTGCTTTACAAAGGACACATGAAAAAGAGTTAATCTTTTAAATCTTTAACTGTAGAAGATGTGAAATGTATTCAGCCAGCACAGACTTTTTTATTCTTGTCTATGTTGCTGTTGCAAGTCTATTAGTCTGCATTTATACTACGACACTTAATGCACAAGTCTGTTTTAACAGGTTTGTCAAATGTTTTCTTGTCTGTTGCTGCAGTTATCACTGTTCAATCATAGCAATTTCAGGACTATATATTTAGTCTGTTGAGTAAACAAAAAAATTACTAGCCAATGGCAAGTAAATTTATTGTCCAGGTGTGCATAGAGGGTTGCTTGTAGCACTTTGCAATTACTTTTGCTAATATTCACCTCATCACCTCAGCCTCATGTATCCATATCAACACACTATGCATTCAGTTGAAACGGTGGGATTCAGTGAGAAAGGACATTTTATTGTTACGGTGCATATTTTTGCAAATGAAATCAGTTGTGAGTAGTGTTTTCCTAGTCGACTAGTACTTGACTGATGTTTTTATCATGTAGCCTTTGGTTGTCTTTATTCTAGGCCCATCTTCCCAAACAATTAAAAATATCAAATATTTTTAAATGTTGCTTTACAAAGGACACATGAAAAAGAGTTAATCTTTTAAATCTTTAACTGTAGAAGATGTGAAATGTATTCAGCCAGCACAGACTTTTTTATTCTTGTCTATGTTGCTGTTGCAAGTCTATTAGTCTGCATTTATACTACGACACTTAATGCACAAGTCTGTTTTAACAGGTTTGTCAAATGTTTTCTCGTCTGTTGCTGCAGTTATCACTGTCAATCATAGCAATTTCAGGACTATATATTTAGTCTGTTGAGTAAACAAAAAAATTACTAGCCAATGGCAAGTAAATTTATTGTCCAGGTGTGCATAGAGGGTTGCTTGTAGCACTTTGCAATTACTTTTGCTAATATTCACCTCATCACCTCAGCCTCATGTATCCATATCAACACACTATGCATTCAGTTGAAACGGTGGGATTCAGTGAGAAAGGACATTTTATTGTTACGGTGCATATTATTGCAAATGAAATCAGTTGTGAGTAGTGTTTTCCTAGTCGACTAGTACTTGACTGATGTTTTTATCATGTAGCCTTTGGTTGTCTTTATTCTAGGCCCATCTTCCCTTTGCTGTGGTGGGCAGTGTGGAGGAGGTGAAGGTGGGGAATAAGACGGTGAGGGCCAGGCAGTATCCGTGGGGAGTCGTTCAAGGTAAGCTGGAGCAGAAATGTCACATTCTCAGAAACGTTCTTGCGGTTTGGTCTCTTGTGTTGGCTATTTTAGTTGAGCTGTAATAGATGAGCATTACTCTGTCACTGGAGAGTATCATGCTCGAGGGGCTGGAGTACATCAGCCACACTGGGACTTTCATTTGAACCCTGCTTCTCCCTGCGGATGCTGGTTGAGGGGTATTTTTACTATGCTTTTGATGTGAAAACAATCCCATCAATCAAAGCAGCAAAAAATGCCACTCTAGACGGGAGCTAATTACTGTGTTTTCTCAGATGTGAGAGAGAGAGCTCTGCCACAGATAAGGTCACGTCATTAGTCATGTTTTTCAGTTTAATTAGTCCTCCAGCTTAAGTAGAGACTCGTGCTGCATGAAAGATGCTCAATGTAGAGCAGCAGTTGACTTTGTGACTCTCAGAGTGTTTCTGCATGAATTAAAATGTCAAATAGAAATTAAAACCAATACTTGCAGAACTAATTGCGCCATACTTAGTACAGCTAACAGCGTTCAGTGGACCTACATACTCATAAGAATGCAGATTATTAATACTTTTTAAGGCTGTCAAAACACTGTTTTAAATTAAAATGACTTAATATCTCTAATTTAGAATTTCCAAAATTTAGAGTTCCAAAGTTTTGGGTTCTCTTGTGCTCACCAATGCTGCATTTATTTGATTAAAAATTCTGTAAATATTGTGAAATATTATTGCAATTATTATAATTTTATTGCAATTTCAAATAGCTGTTTTCTATTTTTCACATGATCTTTCAGAAATCATTCTAATGCTTATTTGTATGTATTTTTATTAGTGTTGAAAACAGTTGCTTAATATTTTTTAGGATTCTTTGACAAATAGAAAGTTCAAAAGAAACATAAATGTCTTTACTTGTCACTTTTGATTAATTTAATGTGACCTTCCTGAATACAATTCTTAATATTACTTAATATAATAACTTTTAAAAATTCTTACTGACTCTAAACTCTTGAATGGATTTCGATATTCTACTTTTCAGATGTATTGATGAGTTAATTTAACTCATCAGTGTAATTAAAGATGGTGTGTGTGTGTGTGTGTGTTTGCTGTTGCGTAATCCTAGTCTTTAAAAAATCAATCAGAACACAATGAAAATAACTTATAAATGTATAAATTAAATAACTTATTTAATGACATTACGCATAATTAATCTCTTATGGGCAGCAATTTTTTGGTCATTAACAACATAATACTAAAAACAGTGACTGATAATTAAGTTCTGGTATTATTATTCATCTGAGTTCGAGTCTTTCGCTTGTAGCTGTAGTTGACAGACAGTTTATCGTGTTTTCCATCTGTATTGACGGTGATGGTGTGCATGTGTATTGCAGTGGAGAATGAGAGTCACTGTGATTTCGTAAAGCTGCGGGAGATGTTGATCAGAGTGAACATGGAGGACCTGCGAGAACAGACTCACGCCAGGCACTACGAACTCTACAGGCGCTGTAAACTAGAGGAGATGGGCTTCAAAGACACCGACCCAGACAGCCAGCCTTTCAGGTGCGTTACCTAGTGAGCTGCACATTATTACCAAGCAGGTTTTAGGTGAAATAACTCGTGTTTTTCAATTCGGTGTTACTTTGTCTGTGACATTAATGTGCGTACTGTGGCCATTTAAGCATTGTTTTGGGCTGCTGTTCCCTTTTTAAAATCCCGCCCATAGGTGACAAAGCATAATGCCGGTAAAGGCCTGTTTGCACAGGAAACATAACTATAATGATTACTACGACTATATTAGCGCCTTCACCAATGAGCGATAACATTCAGTTGTTTATAAACGTGTGCTGCGGCTAATAAACTTTCCTCTTTGTCGTATGGTATATTCTTTTTTTCCTCTACAGTCTACAGGAGACATATGAAGCCAAAAGGAAGGAGTTTCTTGGAGACCTGCAAAGGAAGGAAGAGGGGATGCGGCAGATGTTTGTGAACAAAGTGAAGGAGACCGAGGCCGAGCTGAAGGAGAAGGAGAGAGAGGTTAGTCCCGCCTCATTACGGTTTATTCTTCTTTAAAACATCAACCATCGGACTCCAACCAGTCATCTTAAAGTCCCCGTGAAATCAAAATTGAAGTTTTTTAGCTTTTAGTACGAATATGTTTGCTCCAAAACAATGGCAAAATTCGCATTTACAAGATATAAGCGTTCAAAACAGTCTCTCACTTCCGCCAATATGGATCAACGATTTTAATTACATCACTCTGCACTTCAGCTTTTCATCAGATTTTCTGTCCAATCAAATGCTTTCAAGAATCCGAAGTGTCCCGCCCCCGACACTATAAATACATGCTGAAGCTGCGACTGAAATCGGTCACTCGTTCACAGAATTGGTATTTTCTGTATGGTGAATGGCACATAGTGCACTATATAGTGGATAAGGAACGATCCAGACAGTGTAAATGTGCTTTCCATTGGGGCGAAAGAAGTCTGATAGCACAGAGCGGGTCATATGCACGAGTCGGCACAGGCCATAAAACCTATCGGACCCATTTGAATTCTACACACAATGCTGTATTTTATATCGATATGGATGAGATTAGGAGGATAAATGATTAGACGGGCTCTGCAGTAGAAACAGCACTGACGAGTAGAAGAGATAACACCGGTGCCATGAACCAACATAAATTACTCGCCTCTCAAGCTACACATCCTCAGCATGATTATGATCACTGTTTTGCTTTAGTAACAGCTTCACATAGAATCTAATAAGCTGTCAAACGCAGCTTTACTGAGCTCAACCGGCGGTTCTGGCCGAGCTGTGATGTAAACTAAATGCTATTGGCTATTTTAAAAATGGGCGGAGCTGTAGCTATGTCCCGCCTTGTCTTCCTGTTTCAGCTGAAATTACATCAACATTGTTTCAATGCACTTCAGTGGACCTTTAAATAAGACCAATGAAAACCTGCTAGACAAGATGCAAGTGGAAATAGTGCAGGTTCAAACACAGCTTCTGGCATAACTTTCAGGAATACCGCTCACTTGTGTGTTTGTCCTCAGTTACATGAGAAGTTCGAGCAGCTGAAGCGCATGCACCAGGAGGAGAAGAGGAAGGTGGAGGAGAAGAGACGGGAGCTGGAGGAGGAGATGAACGCCTTCAACAGGAGGAAGGTGGCCGCCGAGACCCTCTCGCTCTCACAGCCCCTCAAGAAGGACAAAGACAAGAAAAAGTGAGTTTGCTGCTCTTATCCTTTCATCTTTTTTTTTTTTCTCCAAGTGCAGAGATTTAGCTGTTCTTACATCTGGAGTGAAATGAAATCTCTTCATATAAGCATATATAAATAGCTAAAATCCAGGACGTGACAGTCACGCCAATTTTTGGCATATTTGGTGTCCACAAAGGCATCCCGAAATATTACTTTTGGCCATCAGATATCAGAAGCCACGGCTGATATTGCTTTCAGTGCATACACACAATTTGCATACCGCACACAGTATACTTACTTTATACTGTTCCTGTGGCTCAGTGGTAGAGCATTGCGTTAGCAGTGCAAAAGGTCGTGGGTTCAAATCTGAGGGAACACACACATACTGGTAAAAAAATTGTTTAGTTGAATGCACGTAAGTCGCTTGTCTGCTAAATGCATAAACGTAAATGTAAGTACTGCTGAAATAGTAAGAATATTAGAATAGTAGCATGGTGTTTCAAACACATTCGTTTAATGCTGCCAGTGAAGACGATCCAAAAGAAAGCTGTTCTCTGTTATGTCTCGTCACATTCATTTCCGACTGCAAACTTACTGCTGGGTAAAATATCATTTCATTTGCTGCGGCACTGCAGATTCGCCAGCACTTTGCCAAGAACCATTGATTTTCAACTTTGTCAAATATATTAGAGTTAAATTCAGGCCGGCAGCCACTTCTGACCTCGTGCAGCTCAAATGAAGCTTATCTAGCACCATCTTGTGGTTAATGATGGTATCTGCCTGTAACATTTCCAGAGCATCCATTTTGTGGTTTGTACCTGACGTGGATCCACCCATTGAAATCTGCTTTTAATATAGTCATGTGCAACTTTTACCAGAAAACATGGTATAAGTCCCACCTAGTCATTACATTTAGAATTAGGTGAAATACGGGTAAATAAAGCCATATTTACATTTTAAACACAGTTTTCATTTCTGAACTAAAATACATGCAGTATAAAACAAACATAAATTATTGTGGCATTCATTATAAATGGCATTTATTATAAAAAAGCCTAAACAAATTTATTTAAAGCTAAACTGAAACTGCCAGCGTGTTGGAAATGCACAATACAAATAAACGTAAGGGTAACACTTTTTATTTTAAGGACCAGTTCTCACTATTAACTAGTTGTTTATTAGCATGCATATTACTAGCATATTGGCTGTTTATTAGTACTTATAAATCGCATATTAATGCCTTATTCTGTCTTATTCTTATAACTAACAACTACCTTACTAACTATTAATAACCAGCAAATTAGGAGTTTGAGGCAAAAGTCATAGTTAATAGTGAGAATTGGTTCCTAAACTAAAGTGGGACCAATTTATGTACCTCTTTCATTCTAATTCTGAACGTTTCGAGTGCTTAATGTGGTTTGCATTATGTAGGTTGCTTTGCTTCAGCACGTTTCAGATGATAAAAATGTGACCGATATTCCGGAAAATATTCTAAATGTGTTACTTTCTGTTTGAATATGATCAGATAATAATGGAAAAAAACTCTCAACCAAGTTACTGAAGTTATATTATACGTCTATTTACTATTTATTCCCTGTATCACAACGTGCTTGTGTGTTTGAGGTTCTTGATACGCTTGCATTCATATTAGTTTATTTGCATGTTTCCATTCTACATCACATTTTATTTTCTGATTCATTTTTTCTTGTTTTGTGTTTGTTTTCTTTCAGTTAATTTATGAGCACATCGCAGGCCATCCGTGGACTTTCCTCTATTAACATCAGCTTTTGTTTTTTGGCATGTTCCTCATGACATTGTGCTGAAGGACCAAAGATCCTGATGGGAAGACAGAGAGATGCAGGGGCTGAATTTGTTCTTGTGTTGCCACATTTTTTCCCCCAGGTGGGCGGGGGTCATTTTTAATGCCCTTCCCTCGTCAACCCCATTTTATTTTTGGGACCGGTTTGCTTTTGTTTTGTTTTAATACACATTTTGTTTTGGTACTAACCATCTGTCCATCTGTCTTACAGTCAGGCCAATTTTGTGACGTACGTATTGAGTAGTACATGTTTCCCTTGCCAAAGTACAGTACGGTAGTATTTAAGATCTGAGCCAAACTCATTAGCACAGTGCACTAATGCACACGTGTATGATTTTATTATTATATAAGCCTGCATGGCTTTCTCTACAGTCTGTTATCATTGGTGCTGTTTTTAAAAGTACATGACGACAGATATGCAAATTATATATTTTTTGTATTTTAGAGCATATAAGGCTGTATGGTATTCAGGTTATATTGTAAAGGCCATCTGAACTAAGGTAACTTCCTACAGATCTTCATTTGCATAAGGGGCAATGTTGTGCCAACTGATGTTAGAAATAAACGCTCCCCCTGATTTCCTTGTGCTGCTTGATATATACATAAACATATTTTGGATTTTTATTTTACAATAATAAATCTGGAAGTAGCTTACAGTGAAACTTTGTTGAGGTGAAAAGAAATGAAGGCAGAGGTGAAAGCTGAACATTAAATAAACATTCATGTCAGGGGTGTCAAACGCATTTCTGGCTGGCTGTCGCAAACATGCTTTTTTTTGTGGTATACCGATGGAAAATGCACTAAAACACTTTTCTTGGTTAATAAATGGTGTGATAGCAGCATTATTCTGCACACCGTTATTCAAGTTTGTGGTCAGTATCTTCTGTCCACAAAGGCTGCATTTATTTGATCAAAAATACAGTAAAAATTGTGAAATATTTAAAATAGCTGTTTTCTATGTGAATATATTGTACAATGTATTTTATTTCTGTCATCAAAGCTGAATTTTCATCATTACTCCAGTCTTCAGCGTCACATGATCTTCAGAAATCATTCTAATATGCTGATTTGCTGCTCAAGAAACATTTCTGATTATTATCAATGTTGAAAACAGTCGTGCTGCTTCATATTATTTGGGAAACCGTAATGCTTTATTTTTTTCAGGATTCTTTGATGAATAGAAAGTTCAAAAGAACAGCATTTATTTGAAATGGGAATCTTTTGAAACCTTATAAATGTCTTTACTGTAACTTTTGATCAATTTAAGGCGTCCTTGCTGAATATAATTATTGCTTAAAAAAACAAACAAAAGGGCTGCATTACAAGTTACTTAAAGGTATAGTTTACTCAAATTTATTTTCCTTGTCGTTCAAAACCTATTACTTTATTTTTCAAGAGATTGGAACAACTGGGTGAGTAAATAATGGCAGAAATGTATATTTAAACTATATTTTCCTCTATGGTGCTGTAATTGCACATTTACCCTGACACGAGAAAACTAAGAATGTGCGTACTGTTAATAGTCTGCTTTTATTCCACAGAAGGACACAGAAACACAAGCATCTGCTGTTTTTACCAAATAAAACTAACTGTTCCTTTTAGAAAAGGAAATTTCCATTGGTTTCATTTCCGAGAAGCAGGAATTTGATATCTGTAGCTGCCTCAAGAAAGGGTTGGGACAAGGTGTTTTTGGTTAAAACATTAGGAGGAAAAAATCATATCTGAATAGAAATGTAATTTCCTCTTCACATTAATACTACAAATCAAGACATTATTTTGAAGATATCAAATATCAAAAGATATCAATTCCAAAACGCATAACACTATAAAGCATAACTCCATTAAGGAATTAATCAACTGGCCAACAAATTGATTTCTGTTTAAGCACCATAATCGTTAAAGCACACTTGCAGTATGAAGAACGCATATAAAAATATAAAACGCAAAGTACAAAAATAAAAGGAATTAAAAAAAAGATCAAACAAAGGAATCTTAAATATGGTCAAAGTGCTGCATGAAGTTGTCAAAAGAAATAGAAAGTGCCTTGGCCATCATTTATCTGCTTCCAACTTTCTCAAAACCACATGTTAGCTTATTAACTAGAAGAGGGTCGTAACGGAGGACAAGGCGAGATTTGCTCGTGCATATCCTGCAGTCTATGGCTTCCGGTTTTCTTTGACATGTCCTCATCATAAAGGCACCAGAAACCGTCATAGAAGTCGTCCACAGCTTGGTCCCCTTTCTGTGCTCCTCTGGCCGTCTGTCTGTTCCCATCTCCATCATCCTCCTGCATGTCATGTCCTCTGAACACCAGCATGCTGGAGGCGTCCAAAATGTAGACGGTGTTGGTGGGTAAGGAGAGCTCGAGGCCGGTGAGGTACTCATCCACCGTCTCCTTGCAGCAGATGAACTCTGTGCTCTCCATCTAGAACAAACCCAAACATCCATGTGAGTGAAATTATGCCCAAACTCAAATGGCGCAGCCCTGTGATGAATGGCACGGACAAAGCACTTCATGGAGTTGTATTTGACCAAAAATCTGAAATTCTGTCACTGACGGCACCATAAAAGTGGACCATCTGATGCTAAAGTCTTCAGAAGCCATGCAACAGCTTTGTGTAAGAAACATACACTACGTTTTCAAAGAGAGACCTGATTTCTGCTAATTAAAAAGCCATATGGGTTTTGTAACAACATTATGGTGAGCAGATTGTTCATTTTTGGACAATTATCCTATTAAATAAAAAAATAAAAAAACAAAAACAGTTAATAGTGATGCAACAATTTCGGCAACCCTAAATATTTGACCAAAAAAAATAAATTTTCGGTTTTGGCTAAAACAGTTGTACAGTGCCTGAAATCACTGACCCAAACAGAGATGTTTTATTACAAGCCGTTTTAACATTTCAATCCTTAAAATGTACAAGTATCTACTTAAAAAAAAAAAAAAGTGTTACCGTACTAGTTGCATTAAAGGACCATTTCTCACTATGAACTAGCATGCATATAAACTAGCATTTTGGCTGTTTATTAGTACTTATAAAACACATATTAATGTCTTATTCTGCATGAGCATATGTTAGATCCATTAATCCACCCCATACCGAAACTAACAACTACCTTGTTTTCTTTGACATGTCCTCATCATAAAGGCACCAGAAACCGTCATAGAAGTCGTCCACAGCTTGGTCCCCTTTCTGTGCTCCTCTGGCCGTCTGTCTGTTCCCATCTCCATCATCCTCCTGCATGTCATGTCCTCTGAACACCAGCATGCTGGAGGCGTCCAAAATGTAGACAGTGTTGGTGGGTAAGGAGAGCTCGAGGCCGGTGAGGTACTCATCCACCGTCTCCTTGCAGCAGATGAACTCTGTGCTCTCCATCTAGAACAAACCCAAACATCCATGTGAGTGAAATTATGCCCAAACTCAAATGGCGCAGCCCTGTGATGAATGGCATGGACAAAGTACTTCATGGAGTTGTATTTGACCAAAAATCTGAAATTCTGTCACTGACGGCACCATAAAAGTGGACCATATGATGCTAAAGTCTTCAGAAGCCATGCAACAGCTTTGTGTAAGAAACATACACTACGTTTTCAAAGAGAGACCTGATTTCTGCTAATTAAAAAGCCATATGGGTTTTGTAACAACATTATGGTGAGCAGATTGTTCATTTTTGGACAATTATCCTATTAAATAAAAAAATAAAAAAACAAAAACAGTTAATAGTGATGCAACAATTTCGGCAACCCTAAATATTTGACCAAAAAAAATAAATTTTCGGTTTTGGCTAAAACAGTTGTACAGTGCCTGAAATCACTGACCCAAACAGAGATGTTTTATTACAAGCCGTTTTAACATTTCAATCCTTAAAATGTACAAGTATCTACTTAAAAAAAAAAAAAAGTGTTACCGTACTAGTTGCATTAAAGGACCATTTCTCACTATGAACTAGCATGCATATAACTAGCATTTTGGCTGTTTATTAGTACTTATAAAACACATATTAATGTCTTATTCTGCATGAGCATATGTTAGATCCATTAATCCACCCCATACCGAAACTAACAACTACCTTACTAACTATAAATAAGCAGCAGATTAGGAATTTATTGAGACAAATGTCATAGTTAATAGTTAGACCTTAAATAAAATGTGACCCAAAAAATCTTACTGGTAACATTTGGAATACGTATTAGCATCCAATAAATGTGTACTAATATCTAATGAATAAGTACTAGAATATATTAAAAATGTACTGGTAGCTAAAGAATAAGCACTACTAGATAATGAATAATTATTAGTACCTAATTGAATAGATACTAGATGCTAAAAAAATAAGTATCAGTAGCCATAGGCGTAGCTTGACGTTTGAGCTCGACCAGTCGATTTGGTCAGTCACACTTTTAAATACTTTTTAGCATTTCTATAGTAAACTTACAAATTCACACTCCGTGTACCATTTAAGTGCACGGTCTATTTTTGCTACACTATTTTGCAATAAACACATTGAATATAATGCACTATAAACATGTTTGTCAACAAGTAGACTTTAAGCAAACCAAGAAGTGAATTACCCACTACTTTAAAACTAATTCCTATTGGACATTATTCAAGTTAAACGCACAAAAGCTGGCGCACAAACACTTCATATTTAGTAAATCTTACTGAAAATGGCAGATTAAGCGGTTTATATTCTGAAATCTGTGTCTAGGTTTTGTTTTGTGTAAATTAACTAACATCTGGATGTAAACGGTCCTCTTCTGGACCTGAATGTAGAAGCCACTGCACCCAGAGTCATCAAGCACAGCAACAACATCATCTTCATTTGACTTTATTTCGGTTAGGTTTAGATTTCTCTCTAGTTGTTGTACGTTGTAAAATAACGCTAAATATCCATGCAAAAGGCAAGCAGTATATGCCATAGGCTATTATCCGCCAAAATGCTGGGGAAGCTAGTAAGTTTGATTTTATTTATTAATTTATTTACAAATTAACAATTTAAAATGTATTAAAATGACTACATTATGTGCATATTTACTTTGGAGTTGAAAACATGATTAACAAATATTTAGTAAAATCTTTCCCAATTTTTAAAAAAAATACATGCTAGTATGTTTAATGAGTAGATGTTAAAACGGCTTGCCATAGTGCTCCTCCGATGGCATGTTTTGTTTTGACTGTCAGTGTCTTTTTCCTTGCACACAACTTGGATACAGGTAAACAACAGTGGACACTAGTGCTGGATTAACAACATCTATTTGCTATAAAAAGTAGATCTAAAAACTGCCTTGTGTGCAAGTGAAATGTCTGTATATTTGCGGTTGATTCTTCAAACATTTTCTGAATTGTTTGATTATTAGGGATGTAATGATGCACCCCGAGCCAGTTGAACAATCAAGAAAAATATGTGACGACTGAAGTCGGTTGAGATGTTAAACGAATCCGCCCGTCTGCTGTTTTTGTTTCGTTCAGATGTTTTATGTAGTATAGTTTCACAAAACTAAAGTCAGACCTTTCTGTTTTTGCTTTAAATTTCTAAATTATACGATCTAATTTAATTCAGAAACTGCTCATGTTGCATGTATGCTGCATCTTGGTTTGGATCGTGAGTAAAATGCAGTGGTTGACAAATTTTAAATGGAAAGAGCACAGGCAAAGCTTTAGTTTGTTTTTTATTATTTATTTGATTTGAGATTTGGTTTTAATTTCAGTTTGGTTGTTATTTGACATTTAAATTTCACAAAGAAATTTAAATTTTTTTAATGAGAAATAATGAATTTATAATTTGCCTTTGTAAAAAAAAAAAAAAAAATCATATAGTGAAATCAGCATCGTGAATCGTATTGCATCATGAGTTGAGTGTATCGTTACATTCCTACCGATTATTAGTTTATTTTTGGTTTTTGGCTAAATCTAAAAAAAATATATATATATTTGTTTTAATTCTGCTTTCGGTTTTTTAGTAAAAAAAAAAAATATATATATATATATATATACACGTATACATATTTCAGTGATGCAATATATAAATGCTATGCATCACTAGCAGTTACCCATAATATTCCAAGAAGCATATCAATCTCCCAAAAGCTGTAAGATCAGTGATGTGTTCTTGACTACCTGTGCTTTCCTCAGCAGGTCGGTAAAAACAGAGAACCAATCAGGCGTCAGCCTCTCCAGCTCCAAAGTGATGATGGCCAAAGCCAATATGGAGCCCTTGAACTGCCAGAGCTGGTGGCAGGCCATACAGTGCTGCAGCTGCCTGGTCCACAGCGACGCCTGGAGGCAGGGTCTCTTCTGAGAGATGGACCGCATCAGCTGAGGACGCCTGGACATCAGCAGGCCGTGGAACTGAAGGAAAACAACAAACCGCTTAACCAACAGAGCCACCGAAAAACCTAATCACTTACAGAGGCGAGGGTCTGTATTTGTACTCTTGAGAAATGGTGTGCGTGTAAGACCCACATGAGTGGGCTGTAAAAAATGTGCTGTGTTCGATGGTCTCCATGTTTTTAAAACATAAGTCTCTCGCTCGGATTCCTAATCCAGATGTTTTGTTTCTCTTCAATGCAGGCCAATCAAAGGCATTGATGCTTTGTTTACAAAAATGATTTTCGTTTACTTTTTGGGAATTGATTCCCTGGATGATTTACCATTCAAGTCAAATACGAGTTTGCAATATTGGCTACTGGTTAGCATCAACCGAGATTACACTGATCATCATTGATGAATACAATAATGTGCACTTATGAATCCAGGAACGTACATTAAGAAATAAAATGGGGCCAATTCTGATTTCACATCAATGCACATGTTTTCTACGATCATCCATTTGGAAAAAGAAATAAGCCATGTTGATTGAATAGGAATGACGTGATAGCTTCACGAGTTCAGGGTAGTAATTCATATTGCCTTGTGGAATATTTCTGTAAATGTTTACTGTGGAAGTGACTTTCCTTTGTATCTGTCTGTATGTGAGCGTTTACTTCTCCAAGGGACTGAGGAGTCACATGGACCTTGTATGGCAATATATTTAAGGTATTCTAAATTGTGGATATTTATTTGGGAAGTTTATTTTTCTATGCTATTAGATATTTTTTCATTTCACAAGCAATTATATTTAATTATTCTATGCGTTATAGATGTCGAGATATCTATAATATGATCTATATGGGTAGATCTCACAGAAACAACCCAAAATAAATAATGTACATGCATGCATGAAGAAAACAAAGCTTTTTTAGGACCATCGATGTTCTTTTTACATTGTGGCATTATTATTATTCAGCACAAAATCAATTCAGTAAATGTACTTTATAATTTAAGTAATACATATTTTTTTACACATTATGACGAAGACATACAAAAATATTTTTGCCATTACATTAATGAGAAATAAGGAAAAATGTGCCATGAAAATAATTTCACACTGAACCCAGTCCTGTGTCTAAAAATTAAAAATGTGTAATTCCAAAATATTTCCAGGTGATAAAACACTAGAAAACATGTTTTGAAAGTTTGTTTAATTATTTAAATTTTTTTATTTGATTATTTTCCACAAAGGTTCACTTATAACGCTTTTTCACACCAAAAACAGCCATTAAATGTGCAGTTTTTTTTGTAAATTCTATTAAATTTTAATTTCCATACAAAATATCCTAACGGTCCTAAAACAGGCTTTGTTTTCTTTATCCAAAATATATTTATCAGTTTGATTTGGGGTGAAATAATACCCATGTTTCATGAGTTTCTCCCATATATTAATTTAATTTTCGAAATTTGTTTTAAGCATCAGGATCTTATTTTTAACAGGGTCTCGTTTCACATACTTTACACTTCTAGTGGCTATTTTATGACTGTCTGTGGTGTGCTAAAACAGCAATTGCTCTCCATGTGTTAACTGTTGCTCGGATTAATCTGGGGAGCGTTTCCCAAAAGCAATATGCTCGCAAGTTACCAACAGAATTCAATGGAACTTGCGTCCATAGTTAGCCAATGATGCTTTTGGGAAACGCAGCCCTCGACCGTGTCTATGCCACACTAACTTGTGCAAAGAACATCAGTCATATTTTTAGATGTTTCAACTGAACCCCACAATGTAGGAAAGACAAAGTATGAAGGTAGTTCCTATTTCTGAGAGAATATTTGTATTGGAGATGTTTTGCAGGGTTATCTATCTGCTTTACTGCTAAAGTACAAGCCAGATTAGTGCCTTGGCTGAATACACACCGCATGGTAGATCGCCCCGCGGCTGCAGATTTTCACATGCACAACGTCAAGGACCAAAAAGTCAGTTTTTGCTCATGTTTGCAACATTAAAAGAGTTGCATGATTTCTGCTGACACATCAGTTGTGACTCACAATGTGAATGAAATCCATCGGTGTGGCTATGTAAAGGTCCCAGTGCAGCTTGTTCAATATGACTCGCTCCATGCGAAGAATCTCTGCTGTTGAGAATTTGCATCTGCTTTGCTCCAGCAAGTCTTTAACCGATGCAATCACCTGTTCACCAACAAAAACAGATCAATAAACGTGCTGGAATGGTTAAATTGTGTGGGGAGTCTCTGTTTGTGCTACAACAAGACAGACACATAGGTATATCTTGCCTCATCTTCCTCGTTGATCTTTGCAGCCAGGATCAGAGAGGTGATGGCCACGCATTTGAGGTATTTCTGCCGAGTCTGAAAAGAAATAGGACTTCGATTCTGCGCCCTTCATCTTTTCTAGTGATACAAAAGGTAGTAACCGTTTCACTTACTTTGACTGCTGCAAGCAGGCTGTTAAGAACACAGACTCCCAAAGCAAACGTCTCGGAGGAAAACTGGAATAGGCTGCTCATTTCACGTAACCACACGATCACCTCCTGGTACTGAGGTGGGCTGATATCTGAACCCTGAGAGCACACGAAACATGGCAAATGTAGAGCCCATGTTCTTGAATCATCAAATGTGTTCTACTGAAGAAACAAAGTCACCTACATCTTGGATGCCCTGGGGGTAAGCAGATAAACATCACATTTTCGTTTTTGGGTGAACTATCCCTTTAAGGAAGTTCAGAAGCCTTATGTTCCCACCCGAATGCAACCGTTCTTAAGGACTGGTGCTCTCCAAAGACGCATTTCTCTTGCCAGGGTGTTGAGCAACAGTGTGCCCAGCCGCTGATTCTCTTCTTCGCCAGACGGTTTCATGGCTGTTTTGGAAACTAGTCCTTTCCACTGGAAGTAATGCCTGACAAAAGAAATGCAGTTTAGTGATTTAGCAGATGCTTTTATCCAAAGTGACCTATTTCAGCAAAGAATGCAGTGCATTGATCAAGGTGTCCTTATTAAGTTTGAACCTGCAAGCTTTCAGTGCATTTCCTCCTCTTTGAGATCCTGATGTTGGGGTGCATGCAATGCAAAATGGTCCCAACATCAGGCCTACATTACAGTTTTTACAATCACGGTCTACATTTGAATAACTCGTGTTGGTATTTACTAAAATGAACAGATGCAGGGCATTTTAACTGCATCAGGAAACAGAAAGCATCATTTGTGAGACTAAACGCGCACAAGCGATATGGGCGGGTCGATTTGCATCAACTTGTAAACAAAGGCATGCAAAGTTTTGGCATAAAAATTACCTTTGAAAAAGAAACACGGCTTCTGTCATTGGCGGCCACTGCATAAATGTGCAAAAATATCATTCCCCCATGTCTGAAAAAAAGAAGCGCACTGTTTAACTTACACAACAACGAAACACATTTTAAAAAATTTTCCCTTAAAAACAACAGAAGCTCAATAAAAGACTAGCAGGTGTAAAACAACTTATATACATACACCAGAGCACAGAATGTGCGATTAGACTCACCTTTAGAGAATGTAAGAAAAGAAAAGTCGCACAAGGAGTCAACAGTTACTCACACTCTGTTTTTTAAAACCGCTTGACTCCGCCCTCGTATTTGAGCCCACGCTGTTGGCACCGCCCACAAATGTGACGTCACGATTGGTTGACCCGCCCATTCACTCGTCACCCACGTACTGAACTGTGTTAGTGGGTCGCACATACGGGTTCTTTTATATGAAATGGTCGGTTTATTATCATAATTTATTACATCATGATGTTTTATCTGTAGGATTAGAATATAGAGACTAATGAGTTCAGTTATAAAAATGCTAAAGTGTGTCTTTAAGGGGTAGAGTTATGGTGTAGTAATTGTATTTAACTTTTAGAACATTAAAGGCCATGATATAAAACATGAGGGGTGTGTGTTTTTTCTATTATTATTTTAGAAACAGGGTTAGTCTGTAGGAATTATAGTAAAATATAAAAAATAAAATAAAATCAAGTCTGTCTTCAAAGTTAATGTGTGTGAGTGAGCATGAATGGAATGAGAAAGTGTATTTTGTTTATTTTAGCGGTGGATAACCATGTATTTTAGGACCTGCGTATTAAAAGGCAATATTTTGCTTATTATCTAGAGATTACATTTATTTGTTTATTTAATGAAAGCTCAAGCCACAGATTTCAGTTTCTCTTGTTGTCTATTTTAGTGTTTATACTGACATCTACTGGACAAATGCAAAGACTTTTTTTTTTGCTTATAGAGAACACAAAAGTGGAAAAACATATGCAAAGGAAAAGAGCAAGGGGTTCAAGGATGGCCAAACAATACATA